ACAATAGTCATTGCACCTGTAGGTGCCGCAGTGACTGCTTCTGTAATTATCTTTCTATAAGGGATCGGATTGCACTGAAGAACAAAATCAGTCATACGGTTTCAAATGAAGGTAAGGAATATGCCATAATATCATCTGCCTCATACCCACTGCAGCGCTGAAACACTGTGACAACCTTGCCTCTATGTCTCACTTGCTGTCTTCACATAATGAGTCAGATCTTCACATGAGTTTTCTTGTTAACCCGCCAACGGTTGTTCTCCTAGTTCATGTAAAATATCATGATTCAGATTGCATCGAATGTTCTTGTCAGTTCTGGATGGTTCATACTAATATTCATACTTATATTCATATTTTAAGAAAACAAGTGCATCCAATTTTAAGTGTAGCCTCTTCACGTGGCTTGGTAGGGAACTAAGTATTTGCCAACACCACAATATGTAGAATGATGCATTGCTCATTGCCTAAAACAAACATATTTTCAAATTTCATATTAATGAGGCACTTAAGACTTTAGCTCCACTTCAACATGCCCAATAAGAGACCAGAATGATAATAATATCATATATCGTTCAACTTTTTGTTTAAAGTACACAATTGAGAACAGAGATACTGTTTGTGAACATAAAAGGCCAATCTGTATAATTTGGACATTACAAAGACTTTTTCATAAATGCAGGTTTGCTATGTGCTTTAAAACTGTACAATACCATGCTTACAAAGGTGCTCTGACAGCTACTGTGAGAATGCGGAGCCAGCAAAGGGGTCGGTGGGTGAGGATGGGTGGGTGTTAATAAAATCATCGGCTCGACTCGTAGATGCATCCAGGGTATAGTGGAAATTTATCGGAACATATACCCTGGAGATTATCGAGGATGCTTTCTACAGGGACTGGGAGAAACCCCTGGAGTACACGTCTGGCAAGATGGAGATGAGGGTCTGCTGGCTCATCTGTAACGACAACAACTTTGAGGTCAAGCCACCGTGTCTGATCTATTCCTTTGGGTCAGTAGAAACCTGAACTAGAGTACTGGATTTGGCTTATTCCGTGAGATATAAGGGTATTGTAGGTACCTGTCCATGTTTACAAACTTAATTAATATGAATATTCAGAGATAAACCAGAGTGTCTCCTCAGAGTTCACAGCTTAAAATGTTTTGTTCTAAACAACACTTAAAAATGTTTCATTAAAAACAAGCTCATCAGCCAAATATACATATGCAGTATTATGGTAATTATTAAGTTTTGTAACTCTTTACAGGATTTGGAATGACTGGTCGTTTGATGACGCAATGAGAGTTCGTGGCTGTGAAGTTCATTCTTTTGATTCAAGATAAGAATCATATATATATAATACCCAGCGACACCATGTTAAACCCATGTCGTGATGTCCACATATTACTATAGTTCCCCATCGACATTAAGTATGAATCGAACTGCAGCAGCAGCAAACATCACATTTACCCCATGGTGGAGACAAAAGTTAGGGTTAACTCGTCCGGTGGCATATGAGGTACTTATGTTGGCTGATTAGGTCCATCTCTTTCTCGCCTCTCGCGGCCGAATTTTAAGGCGAGAAAGCGATGGCCCTAATCAGCCACCATACTAATCAGCCATCAAAGGTACTACAATACACTGACGATGATTTATAAAGCCAGATCTCAAACCAGACCTACGCCTGTGCAGTCAACATGTTCTATGTTTCAGTCATTCTGTTGACTTTCCGAAAGTCTTTAAATGCCACTTATTCAGAAAGCTTGGGGTATACTACTGTAAGAATGTCTTTCATTTCATTCACAAACCATTTGTTTAGCATCGGACTAAAGCCCTTCGACAGAAGCAAGAATGTCCACTTCCATGACCTTGGCCTCTCTGGGGAAGACAGCGACACGTATGTTCCTACTAAGGACATATACGTTAAAAAGACAACAACATGGGAGATCAGACGCCTCAAGACCATCATGGAGATGCTTGGACATACAAATGTACGTACATGTAAATTCCAAACTTGACTGCTACAATGCTGATCTCTGATCTAGGGGACATAACTGTTGTTACAACAGTGAACAATATCCATAACAATAGGGAGATATTTTGTCTTGAGGTCAAACTGGAAAGTACAACACCGATGTGTCAAACCTTCATATGTCGAACTTACATGTACGGTTGTTTCGAAGTAAAAGTTTCTTCCCGGCATACTGTATCTTTAGTTGGCATTTACATTTGTGTCGAACCGCGGGTATCGCGAAGTATTTACAACTCCATATGACAGTGTTCGACCGTAAGTGATTTATGTGGCAAGACACCAAGCTCCCAAACAGGCCTGAAGCCCCGGACCTCGGTCATCAAGTGGAAGGGGTTATATGCCAGATTTGCCATTGTCACTAACGACTGTATCCTGAACGTTTACGTTGCATTGTCATGTTGCACGTGGGTACAGTTTCTCAGTTTGTCAAAAGCAAACCGTCGGACCGATACAAACAACTCTGGCTGCCCAAGGGCAATAATCCTAGCCCACGGCAGCTTAGTCAGAAAGTCGAGATAAAAAAGTTGTTTGTTTGTTGCTTAACGCCACATTCAGCAGTGACGGCGGTCTGTAAATGATCTAGTGCTCAACCTCATGAGCATCGATCTACGTAACTGGCATACGATATGGCATGTGTCAACCAAGTCAGCGAGCCTGACCACCCGATCCCGTTAGTCGCGCTTATGCAAAGCATTCGAGTGAAATATGCGTTACGTTATGTACTTAGGATAGGCTAGAGACTTGCGATCGTGGGTTCGAATCCCGGTCCGCTCAGATTATGTTTCTAGGCTTGTCCGCACGATATCTGTACTCAAGGATTTCGCTCAACAAATATACGTCTGCATCGCATCGGGCTTTCTTCCATATCAAGCTGACTGGAAATAACCCATTGTTCATGTGAAGTATGGGGGCGGTGGGGTAGTCTAGTGGTTAAAGCGTTGGCTCGTCACGCCGAAGACCCGGGTTCGAATCCCCACATGGGTACAATGAGTGAAGCCCATTTCTGGTGTCCCCGCCGTGATATTGCTGGAATATTGCTAAAAGCGGCGTAAAACCAAACTCAGTCAGTTAGTCAGTCATGTGAAGTATGAAACATCGTCCCTGTCACTCATTTTGTCCGCATGTAATCATCACATCAGAATCCACATAATACGAGTATAAAGACTATTACATCTCACACGTAAATATCAAAATCTTACATTTCAAAAGGCCTAAGAATTTACCTTATAGATATCATAACTGTGAGGCCTGAGATCAGAGTTTACCCATTAGTTAGAGACCTCTTATTGGATTTTACCCTACTCTGCATGGCCTCAAAATAGTTGGTGAGGTGAGAGGGCTTTTAACAAATATATAGCATAAACGTAGAGAACAACCTGATGTCAACATTAACCTGACGCTTTACTGATGGCAATGAACCTGCTGCCACAAGGACAATAACATCATCACCAAGGTAAGTATGACGGAATACTGTCAGATGTGTGCGGAGGACGAGTCAAAGATGCATGGTAGACTAACGATAGATTGATGGATTTAAGCACAGGAAATTATGTGTGAAAAGGTTTGGAATTTTGAGGAATGGATATAGTGTATTTTTGGCCCAGTCTTAGCAATCGTCCTTAAGTGTCATGGTAGAATTTAATGTAATTTAAAGTATGTCGTGTGGATCTATTTGTGATTGGAAGTAAATGTGTATATACTGTTTCTGTTAATCTTACCTTAATGACAAACTAGCATACATTGTTGACTGCGTGAAACGTTACCATTGGTCTTGATATTGTGTATATAGGGAATACAAATGAAACACCTGTTACTAGTTTTTTACACGTGAAACCCGTTTGTTAATATGCAGTCCTCGATGTTGTTTTCATCACACAGTTTCCGTAAACTACACAGGTGCACGGAAACAGTAACGTTGCATTTGTGTTCAGATTTATGCTAATTAAATAACGACAAAAGCTGATTCGGTGAACTTCAAGCCTTGCGTACATAACAATAAATCACGGCGGGGACACCAGTATTCTAGTGAACAATCGACGGGTTTGTATCAATTGTTACAATGCATTAATATGGATTTGTTCTGGTGTCCCCCGCCGTGATCGATGTTGCTGGAATATTTCTAAAAGCGGCGTAAAACATACTCACTCACCTACTCAACAATATGGATTTGACAGGAAGCTATCCTACTGCATATCAACGCCTTTCCTTCAATTTCACTCAAATGTTCAGATTTATTCAACATATTGTATGTCTGAACAGTAACATTCCCTCGAACATAAACCATGAAAACATTGGCGGCATCCACATATAGATAGACCAACGTCAGTGTACATTGTACATAGAAGAAACTATCCTACTGCAAGGCAAGGTGGGCGAGCTGTCTAAAGCGCAGTGCTAGTAAGCGATAGGTGCTTGGAGCGATCCCCAATTGTTACCGGGTGTAGAAACCTTGGAGCTAACATTACTTGCAGGCTCTTTCAGTGTTGTCACAACCCCTAGTGTGCAGTACACAACCCTGTGTACATAAAAGAACCCACTCATTCGATAGTAGGTGACCAGATGGCGGACACACGAACACGTGCAGACAGCTAGTTACGGGTATAGTAACGTACAGTATCACTGGACAAAATACTGTTGCTTTGTGTCCCAGTTCACCCATCTGCAAATTGGTGCCTTGTGAGGATGAGTCTGTGTGATAACTCGCTGCGCCTAACAGGCCGCATGAGTTGAATACTCCCCAGGGAGTTGTGTTGGTTAAACAAAATGCCAGAAAAAGACATTCGTTGATCAAAGGATCACTCAAGGACCTTGAGCATATACTAGTTGCGTGGATATGTGCGCTGTATAAATATCCTGTCATCATAGATGAAACTGCAGCTAAGAGGCGACATCCTGTTATCTACAGTCTGTTTCCCGTGTTCACAACACGGATCTACGTATAGCAGGACGTCATGCAGGGTATATTTCACAATTACTTGCGACATTATATTCACACACACTTGCGGCACAGGGTTTTCATCGAACACCTGTAGATTTTCAAACACATTGTGAACTGGGGCATGGTATTCGGGACACGTTTTTACTTTACATTTGCAGTATCTGTGTTTAGCTTCAACAATGGTAAGTAATGTTTATGATGTCGTATCATCGATAGTTTTTGTATTGTACAGGCGCAGATGACATATTATCTCACTGCACCGTGTTGCAAGCCACTAGCATGGTGTTGCGGATGTCAGTAGCTGAATGGGGTGATCAGATAGTAAATATTCCACTCCCATTGACGTTTGTAATGAGTTTAGAATTACGAGTACTAAAGTTATAGATGTCTGTGAAATAGATTTGTGAAAGGTTCAAAGTCTTTATATGTAACGTTTTAACTTTACATATTTGTGTATTGTCGATATAAATAACGTAATATATATTTATAGTTATATACATAAATACAATATGAAATAGAATAGGTATTGTAAGGCACAAGTACTTGAAGTGCCTTACAATTCTGTTTCACAGCACAGACGTTTTATAAATTTCCATACATAAACCAACCAACCAATCAATCAATCAATCATCTTTACTTATCAATCATTAGCACCATACTTACCTTGTCTTGTTAATACCAGTTGTATATGTGCTTCTTGAGATAAAGTATATATACTGAACCACAAAAGAAACGCCGCCTTTCAGAATCAAATTCAAAATTTTGTTCTTACAAGGTGGTGTTTTTATTATGATTGTACCGTTTTGTTAACAGGTTTTTCAATCCAAATTGACAGTTATTACCAACATCAGTGTGTTTTCTGATGAAAAAGGCGTATCGGCCGAACGCACCAAAAAAGGCAGACGTGGTAAAAGGTTCCGTATAACATACGTGAAAATAAAAATGCACGTGCATGCCGTGACACACTACCAATGAAAGCGGTTCTCAAACTCGCTTGAAATCATTTTTGTTTTGACACAATCACTATGCCACGACTTACGAGAGATCATAGGAACCAAGTCTGGGAACGATTGGAAGTTGTCCAGACTGCACAATCATTTTAATGTTCACGTCCAAGACCGTCCAAGCTGTGGGCGACCGACAGATTGTGCCCAACCATCTGCACGATTGCTTCCCCAGAGCGAGGGAAACAGCACGCCAGACCATTGGGACTCACAACAGACCCATCAGTGCCGATATTGTCCGTCGATGTTTACGCGGAAGTACCTCTGCTGTCACAAATCATATCGTAGTCCTGTCCTCACCGCTCATCACCGCCAAAACCGACCAAAAGTGGCAACTCAGTATCGAAATTGGCGTTATCAACAATGGAGAACTGTGCTTTTATCTCAGGAACGTCGATATTGTGTTTCGACCGTCTATGGCAGAGTGAGAGTATGGTGAAGGTGTGGGGAACTGTATCCCAATGAGTGTATTGTTGAAAGAGACTCGTGTTGTGGTCCAAGCATCATGGTGTGGGGTGCAATCGGTCTGGACCAGTTAGCTGACACCGTGGTGTTCCAGAATTTTGGCCCAGGATGAGGAAATGACGTGACAGCTGCTCGCTATTTTGACCAAGTGATAAGACCCCACGTCTATCACATTTTGGACGTTACAGAAATCACATCTTCCACATCTTCAACGCACGTGCCCACACTGCCAGAGCAACATTAGACTTCTTAAGACAACATGGCATCCGAACCCTACAAAACCCTGCACTAAGTCTGGATTTAAGTCCAATAGAACACCTTTGGGACAAGATTCAAAGAAAACTGAATGACCTCCAACAAAGGCCGACAACTGCGGCAGGACTCGATCAGGCATTTCGCAGAGTATGGACCCAAGTGCCCATTCCATATACAGACGATGCCACGCTTTCATCGATGCCCTTGAGGCCATACACTATACTGACTTCGGGGTATCTTAATGGTACCATTTTTGGTGATTTTGTGTGAACTCTAAATGTGATTCCCGAAAATGTGTTAACCATAATTGTCAAGTTTGAACTCAATCCTCCGTTTTGATTGTTAATTAGAGTGAATTAAAGTGTGTGTTTTTAGAAACCGCTATCGGTGCGACATTTCTTTTGTGGTTCAGTATATATCAATCAGTATCACCATATACACCTTATCTTGTTAATACCAGTGTGTATATGTGCTTCCTGAAGTAAAGTTTGTATACTATGTTACAACAGTTAAAGGGGACGGATGCATCAATGAAACATTGACGGCGACCAAGAAGGGAAAACATCTAACGTCGCCGGGCTACCCTCTTGGGTACAAGAAGTAAGACAAATATATTAAAACTGGATCGTGCAATGGGTGATTTGGATGCGTTGCAAGTGGATTTCTGCAGTTTCAGTCAGTAATTCATATAAATGTGTATGTTTTAGTTATGGCCTCAGGATTACTGATGATTTCAGTGGAAACTACATGAAATTCAATATGGCCGCCGCATTTCTTGGTGAATGACCATATTTGTAGGCTTTATTATCGCTGGTGCGTAGTCATCAAATAAGCAAACTTCCAAGCTTGCATCACTGTCGTCTATCAGATTAAACGACTGGTCGTTTAAATGTGTATAGGTGAATTGAGGCATTACGGTCACTGTTGAGTAAACAAGCGGAAGCCACCATGAACTCAATATGTCCGCCATTTTATTGGCATATTCCCATGCGTCTGATTGAGATTCTTTGTATGTAGAGCGATACCGATACTTTTGGGTTTATAAAATACGTAAACTTACAAGATTTGCATGACAGTTTTCGCCAAAGAAAATTACTGCTTTGCAGAGAAAACCGAACGGCACTCGCTCAGCATGTGTATTTGCCATTGTGTTCGAGGCTCTATAACTATCTGCATCAGACAACATATGAGAAAAACGGTTCGTTCTTACTTTGCAGCAATTTACAGTGTAAATGGGAAATTGTCGGACCCCAGTACAGCAAAATAAAAGTGAACATCCTCAGCAGTGACATCGACCGGCAGGGGAACCTGTGAAGGAGACTACGTCGAAGTGCTTGATGGTAGGGTGATAGACGTTCAGTCCCGATGCTTGATGGTAGGTTGTTACACGTTCAGTCAAGGTGCTTGATGGTAGGTTGTTACACGTTCAGTCAAGGTGCTTGATGGTAGGTCGTTATACGTTCAGTCCAGGTGCTTGATGGTAGGTTGTTACACGTTCAGTCCAGGTGCTTGATGGTAGGTTGTTACACGTTCAGTCCAGATGCTTGATGGTAGGTCGTTACACATTCAGTCAAGGTGCTTGATGGTAGGTTGTTACACGTTCAGTCCAGGTGCTTGATGGTAGGTTGTTACACGTTCAGTCCAGGTGCTTGATGGTAGGTTGTTACACGTTCAGTCCAGGTGCTTGATGGTAGGTTGTTACACGTTCAGTCCAGATGCTTGTTGGTAGGTCGTTACACGTTCAGTCCAGGTGCTTGATGGTAGGTTGCAACACATTCAGTACAGATGCTTGATGGTAGGTTGTTACACGTTCAGTCCAGTTGCTTGATGGTAGGTTGTTACACGTTCAGTCCAGGTGCTTGATGGTAGGTTGTTACACGTTCAGTCTAGATGCTTGATGGTAGGGTTGTTCACGTTCAGTCCATGTCCCTGGTGGTAGGTTGTTACACGTTCAGTCCATGTCACTGGTGGTAGGTTGTTACACGTTCAGTACAGATGCTTGATGGTAGGTTGTTACACGTTCAGTCCAGATGCTTGATGGTAGGTTGTTACATGTTCAGTCCAGATGCTTGATGGTAGGGTTGTTCACGTTCAGTCCTTGTCCCTGATGGTAGGTTGTTACACGTTCAGTCCAGATGCTTGTTGGTAGGTTGTTACACGTTCAGTCCAGATGCTTGATGGTAGGTTGTTACACGTTCAGTCCATGTCCCTGATGGTAGGTTGTTAAACGTTCAGTCCAGGTGCTTGATGGTAGGTCGTTACACGTTCAGTCCAGGTGTTTGATGGTAGGTTGTTACACGTTCAGTCCAGGCGCTTGATGGTAGGTTGTTACACGTTCAGTCCAGATGCTTGATGGTAGGTTGTTATACGTTCAGTTGAGATGCTTGATGGTAGGTTGTTACACGTTCAGTCGAGGTGCTTTTTGTAGGTTGTTACACGTTCAGTCCAGATGCTTGATGGTAGGTTCTATCGCGTTCAGTCCAGGTGCTTTTTGTAGGTTTCGTGGCGTTCACTCAGTGAAATGTCCAGTAAATACTGATCGGATGGTCAGGCTTGGTGACTTGGTTGTTTTGTTATGCTACATCCTCATAATGTCTGCCAATAAAAGAAATCAATCTACAACATGAACAGATTAAGCATGTCATGTGGTATATACATGTAATTGTTTTGTGACATCAGGAAGCACGACCAACTGGGGCGTGGCGTCTCTAGGGAGTTTCTGTGGCTTCAATACACCTTCATTCACAAGCAGCGGGCCCATCATCACAATCAGGTTTACAACTGATGGATCACGAACCAGTAAGGGCTTCCGGCTGAAGTACCACTATGAAGGTGAGTTGTGTCGTGACTGCGTTGTTGCTTCGTTGCATTATTACTATTGTTACACTCCTAGTATTGAGACCGCTATCAAAATACGAGATACAATTGGTTGTTGTAAGAGGCGACTATCGGGAACGGGTGGACCGACTGGTTGACTTTGTCGAAGCATGGCATCGTATTTGTGTAGATCGGTGCTCATTATATCAATCATTAGATTGTCTGGTCCAGACTAGATTATTTACAGACCGCGGTCTCATGGCTGGAATATTTCTGAGTGCTAACACCCTTCAATTCATTACATTGCTGTCCCCACCCTGTACGTTCGTCGTCCTATTCTCAACAGTAGTAAATGAGTGAGTGAGTAAAATATTAACGCTTCATTCAACAACAGTCATAGCTTACATCGTGGCGTTTTGAAAAGAATTTTAGACCCGATAATCAGTGTGTGAAACGATCGTTCTTGTTTGTTGTTTAACACCACGCTCAGCAATATTCCAGCTATATGGCGGCGATCTATAACTAATTGAGTCTGGACCAGACAATCCAGTGATCAACATCATGAGTATCGATCTATGCAATTGGGATACGATGATATGCGTCAACCAAGTCCCCGATCCCAACCACCCGATCCCGTTAGTTGCCTCGTACGACAAGCATGGACTGCTGAAGACCAATTCTAACCCAGATCGTTACGGGTTTACTCGATCTTATCCTACTTGTTCATGTCACTGCCTGATGCACACGGTCGTTATATGGACGACCTCGTATACTTTGTGTATGTTAAATACATATATAGAACGTCACACTTGTGCATTTGGATGTTTTGTATTGAACGACAATTGCAAGATGTCATGGGAGCAGACATCTGGTCCCATGACATCTTCGAGTTCAATACGGAATCTGGGGTGCAATACGGAATTTGACCACGTCATCTGTATTGCGCCCCTGTATTACTATCCTAGGTTTATGGGTATATAATAAAATATCATGTGTGACCAACTCGTGTTATTTCGGGACAAGCCGAATAGCATCTTGGAGTTTACGGAAAGGGGCGAGTGGTGACGAATGATACAATATCTCTTTTCAGACTCACAGACCACACGCACAGCGTTCCTCTCCGGTGTTGGCATATTTGTGGGTATTATATTCTTCTTCTTTGTTCTGTACAAAACTTCATCAACATGTGCAAGAAAACGCCACAGTGGCAGAATTGAACTTGAAACACAGCATCAAACTCAGGACACAGAGGTGCCAACAGAGGTTGTCGAGCCAACCAGGAATAATGCAGAGTTATCTGCCCCTCCTCCGACATACAACGAAGTTGTTGCTGACGGCAATATAAACAATAATAAAGACAATCTGGATGAGACTTCCCCACCACCGTATTCAACATTACGCATATCGCATGCATGACTTGACCATGGGGATTGGAAGATACTGTTGTACACGATTAAAAAGTAGGCATGCATTTATTGACGATGCAATCAACGTTATATTGGTTTGTTAATTGGATGATGTGAGAAATTCGTGAATTACTCGTAAAGCACGCATCAGACAACAGTGGAGCTGTTTAGTTGAAACGTATGAATGTATTTCCATACAAAATCAAAATCAATGTTTTTGTGTCAATCTGTGTTAATAAACTCACGAACTGTTTTACTGTTTGTTATATACAATGACACACACAGGTACATTCGGTAATTTAGGCCCAAGGCCCATAATACATACATTTGGCAAAAGTAAATACATACTGGGTAAGGCCGAGTATAGTTTAGTATTACAGCTTGTTCAGCTTGACCTGATCAAGTGAATACTAATGCATTGCGTGACCGTGTCACAACTGGTTGGGTCTATTATTGTGAAGGGGTGCACCTTTGTCAGTTGATTGTCAACATGTCGCCATTTGACATCTCAGTGTCGAGATATCGTCAGCAATGTCCTAACTTTCTTCGAAAAGAAGCTACAAGATGGTTTAATGTTTCTGATTCGGGCTTTCAGGCAGCGAGCAGCAACAGCAACTGGGTGTAGAGAGTGATAGCGAGAGTGAATCGGATTGTGAAAGTAACTAACATCAGTATGTTGTAAAGTTAGTAAACCAAATTAGATAGCATATGATTGTATAAACAATCCAGTAAAACATGAAATGATTGTTTTTTTCAGAAGTGTTGTTTTCCGGGACAAGTTAGTTCTGTAACGGATTCATGTATGCATGTTTCGCACGAACACAACATTAATAACATTCTCTGCTCCCCTATTTAATGAAGATAACCCGATCTGCCGTTTGTGCCATTGAACCTTCCGGGTCATGCATATGTAGAGTAGCTCAGGTTAAGCTGAACAAACTGTAATTAATTTTATAGTTAGCCATTTCTTATACTGCGAACTTGTGAAAGATAATTTATTCAATGATTTTGAAATATAGATATTGTCCCATGACAGTAGTCGGATGAAGGTTTCAGTGGTCGGTGGTTGAATCAGATGATTTGGAAAAACAGTCAGATCTTTGTTGGCAATACTTTGGACATACTAATAAAGTATGGAGTTCACCTTTGATGTTATCAAGGCCAGCAGCATGACAAAAGAGGCAGAGACGTTCATTATACGGGGTGTTTGTATGACGGTCACATTCCATTGCGAGTCTGAAGTTACAGCATCGAGTTATGGTTTTACGTTGATTTGGTAGCAGCTCACTGGTTACATATGGTTCGACGCTGAGAGATGATTAAACTGAGAATAGTAATTACATCTGGATGACGAAAATAGTGATGCCTTCCAGTATTGAGTGAAGCAGTCATAAAATCTCTGTTTAAACATTTCCATGAATGTGGATATACAGCCGATGTCTTGAGATATCCATAAGAAACCAACTTACTGACTGACTGAGTTTAGTTTTACGCCGCTTTTAGCAATATTCCAGCAATATCACGGCAGGGGAAAAACCAGAAATGGGCTTAACACATTGTACCCATGTGGGGAATCGAACCCGGGCCTTCGGCGTGACGAGCCAACGCTTTAACCACTAGGCTACCCCACCGCCCCCATAAGAAACCAAATCCGTATTGAAAAAAATATCAACCTTATATGGGAAGCCCAGGTTGTTTTAGCATTATCGTCCATAGTTTTCATCCATAGTTTTGATAGGCGTGATAAAGAAGTCATATACAATGCCTGGCACATAGAATGCACGATCTGGCATATACCCTATCTGTCATGTACACATACGCATGTACATATACTATGGTTTCGTAACAGTCGTTCTGATGAAACAATGTTGTGAGGCAATTGGACGTCTGTCAACAACGTTATTTGTCTGTCGTTATCTTCATACAGTGGTCTGTCTTGTTTCAACTTCGAACATGCCAAATGCAGGTAGCTGTTCCTGACAGACACCGCATCCCCAAAACATATTGTACTAAGTTTATTACAACAAGATTTATAAATAGGGCAATTTACACCAGAAAAGTGAGTGAGTGAGTTTAGTTTTACGCCGCACTCAGCAATATTCCCGCTTTATGGCGGTGGTCTGTGAATGATCTAGCAGGGGGTGGGACAGAGGTGTGGCGATGAGATTGTCTTAAAACTTATACATCTATTCATCACTTGGATGGGAATTTGTGGTCTGTTGAGGAAAAATAAAACACATGCACGGCATTAGAAATAAGGAAGACAGACCGGAAACGTTTCATTGTTGTTATATTTTCAAATTTAGCATGAATTCTAACATTGTATAGTTTCTTTCTGTGGCAAGTATATGTCGTGTACATGTGGCGACCATACAATATCCGAGACGACTTGACCACATGAAAAAAAGAGTGTGTTTTTTCAGCAAGAAAACATGCAACACACTCAAGACACTGCGTCTGGCTGTATATCAGCATCCTGAGATTTATTTCGCTAAAGGTTTGTTCTCACAGTTCGACTTGTATTTACAACTTGTAGCATACGCCTTGTAGTAACAAGAAAGATTGTAACGACTTTAATATCTAGCGAGATTCTCACGTATGAGTCGGCAACATGGAGAAGAAGGTAAAGAAGAAACGCTGGCCTTAATGTCATTTCGCTATATGATAACGCTATTTAGGTACATGTCCTTCTTGTCAAGAAGCCCCCAACTCAGCACACGGCTGGAGCGTATAATTTGCTTTTTCGAGAGTTTGAACAGGAAGATCAAAGGTCACTGAAATTTTTTCTCCATGTGGACAAGTCAAATTTTGGCATGATGTCACTCTGTAGAGGGTAATGTCCGTGTAACTCCCAATTCCTTAACAATAATGGAGCCGAGGCACATTATTTTTAAGGAATGGAGAGTTACGAGGATATTACCCTACTTAAGTTACATTCAAAGTATTGGGAATATTTCTGTTTAAATTAAATGTCAAAATGACAAAATGACGGCTCAAATTTGAAACTGGTACACATCACTCCATTCCTGAAAAGTAATGGAGCAGCAGACAATGGAATGACGTCACAAATGTAATTTAGATTCGTCACCACTCGCCCCTTTCCGTAAACTAGCTATTCGGCTTGTCCCGGAATAACACGAGTTGGTCACGAATGGTAATTTAAGAGGTGGACACAGATCTAAGCGATTTGATTGGTCGAGAGCTTGCTACTTATAGTAGGAATTCGAACATGTCCTATGTCTTACAACTCGGCTGCGACTAGCTGATGCGATTTCAAGTCGCACAGTGAGAACCCACCTTAAACGAAATATGAACGTGCTCAACCCCACGTAAATGTAGGTAAAAAAATGTCTAATTCCCGGCATGGGATCTTCACAGAGCTCTACAAGCTGACAAGATGTCGTCTGATGGATGACTCCATGCCATCCTCACAACAAGGATGTGCTGACTGGTGGAAGTGCCAACCTTATCCATTTTTCCTCTTCTGTGATGATAAATCGTACATGATAACGGCTGTGGGGATGTCTAAGGACAGATGCGGTATCACTGCTGAAGATCCCTGGCGGTCTACACGTTCTACTAAACGTTTCTCCTGACATTCAAATATTTTCCTTCCACTGAACGTCCTAGTTGTATGACAACATGCAATATGACAACGTTTCGTAAATAATGAAGTCTGAAGCTAACATCCAAGCGTCTGTCGTTATGAACATCGATCTACTCTGTCAAAGACATGCATAAACATCCCAGTAAGAAAATCTTTGTGTCCTTTTACGACAAGTTTTGATTCCGCTGGCGATAATCATACATTCCGGAAGACCTATTCTTACACGATCTTCACGGATCCTGAAGATCGTCAGATGTGTCGAGCATGATATACAGCCACAGGAAATGCTCCTCTCCTTGAAGATCCGGGCTAGAAGTGGTCTTCAGTAACCCATGCTTGTCGTCAGAGGCAACTTACGGGATCGGGAGGTTATCAGGCTCGCTGACTTGGCTGACACATGTCATCGTATCCGAATTGCGTACATCGATGCTCATGATGTTGATCACTGGATTGTCTGGTCCAGACTCGATTATTTACAGACCGCCGTCATATAGCTGGAATAATGCCGAGTCCGGGGTTAAACAACAAACCAACCAACCTTTCCTCTCCTTCTATAGCTCAACACTAAACATCTCCCTTGACAAATCTCTTTTGTCTGTCGTCTTGTGTCTTATGTAAGTTCCATTATGAACACAGGATATGTACGTCCTTGAGGGGTATAACGGTTTGGCTTGAAAGTTTGTGTAGAGCTGTTGCGTGATGTGTAATGTGTTATACATGTAGTGTACCAAGGACAAATTGATGAAATATATATAGTTACTTGTTTCATACTTGCCAAAGCTTTTTGTTCTCAGTATTTATGCAAAACAAATTCATTTGAAATGCTGTTCAAGCAGCAGCTTCCTGGCAGTTTGTGGTAAGTCGTAAACAAGGTATCGAAGGTTCATCCTGTCGTAGAGAGTAGGGTGTTAATGTGAGGCTGACGTCTAACGAAACATCCTCATCTTTCATGCAGAGTGTCAGTTGAAGCCTCTGACATGCTTCTGCCTCGTTATGTCGTGTTATTTTTAACCACGTGCATTTCGTGCAGCATGTGTTCTTCAGTCACTCAAACTCCACTGGACGAGACAACTTCTGATGAAATGGATGATGTATTGGCTTGTTTGTTGTTTTACACCGCACTCAGCAATATTACTCATCATCGATCATGGCAATTGGGATACGATGACATGTGTCAGCAAGTCAGCGAACCTGACCACCCGATCCCGTTAGTCGCCTTTTACGACAAGCATGGGTTACTAAAGACCAATTCTAACTCGTATCCTCACGGGTCCTTGAAATTGTTTTATGACAGGGACATCGGTTTCTAATGACGATACTCCTGTAGATATACACATGTAAAGCAAACAGAGGTTCCGGTTCAACACAAACAAAGAACGTCTAATTGGGTAAAATGCATGTCCTTACAATCAGCTATACTTGGTGACAAGGGAGATTAGTCATCAGGCATCAGGATTTATCTGACATTCGAAGCCAATGTTGACCACGTGGTAGATCAATAGTAATCATATGACTAGTCAATATTCGAGTTCAGTGTCAGCGATGTGATTTGACCAAATCAGTCTTCTTAGTATTGAAATGAATTAATTCATAACGTGATTTGTATTAATCAGTGATATTCAGAAATTCTTAGTCTAGTTTAAATGTGTCTATCCTGAACAGACGCCACACTCTCTTCTCCCCTCAAGCAATTATCTTACACAGTTCCTGCTATAGGATGTCGGCCCTTCAGCTGTGTGGGACAGGCCATTGTGTCGCTCCGGTTTGATTGGACAGACGCCAGTGGGACCATACACACCGATAAAGTTAAGCACAAATATGTTCCCAAAGCAGTTTCTCTCTGTCTTTGTAAAATGAGAATAACACGGAATGGGTTTAAATCTACGTGACATTTTATGAATTCATTTAAGTATACCTGCAAAACCTTCTCCATAGTTCATTGAACGATTTCTACTGTATTGGGGATGGGGTGGGGGTGGGGGTGGTGTTGCTGTGTGTGTGTGTGTGGGGGGGGGAGGTGTTGACTGTGAATGATCCTCACCAAATAGTCATTCTAGGTGTCCACTACAAAGTGTGTGTATCCTACCTTTACGATGGTATCCATCGCAAATACACGCAAAGGCAAGTCAATTGTTCATCTGTAACAAAATGGGGAACGTGAACACATTTGATACAGGTCAAATTCGGGAACTGCTTCGGGAATATGTAGGTTTGTATCTTGGGTCAGGCTGAAAGCATCCATTACTCTGTAAAACATCGCCACGTAGTGATATTGCTAAGAACGGTAAAACCTTGCTCATTTACGTAATCACTCACTACAACACATCTTAGTTTGACGCAGCTGTCACAGTGGTTTACGATTATGACGGCGGGGTGTTACTAATCGAGTTTGGATGAGACAATCAAGTGACTGACATAATGAGCAACCCCATCAGGATGTGATGACATGCCCAATCCTGGAAATCCGATCCATTCAGTCGCCTGTTTGAATCCCGAAAGTGTGTACCATGTGTTTAGGATGACAAAGATGGGGTGAGTTTTTAGGTCTGTTCGCATGGGTTTATTTCCTCAAATGCCACCTTCCTATGTTATTTTTATGTGAATCGCATATGAAACTCAGTGAATGTACATACAGGAAGTGAAATGAAGATTGCTACCATTGTTGTCAGTGGTCACAGTCTATCCTGTGTGGTGTCACCAGTTGGCCACATAACTCCTGCACTGAGTCAGGGGCTGCGACCATGGCGGGATGGACGCTTATCTGTGGAGCTTGCATCGCGATCTTGTTGCCGGGATTTAGATTTGAAGGTATGTATCAAGCAGTCACTGGCATTGATTGAATCGACTGAATTGATGTGTATTGGCGTGAATCACAGCCTTGCTTACAGGAACAATATGGCGTTGAAACAATCTATTTTGGTAAGGGTTGAATTATATGTCCTGTAGTGAACGTATGTATCAGGTTGAACCTTGATTCAGTTTTGTACTGTCGCGTTGAAATCGTTGTCATTTAGTATCAGATAGGATAATTGTCTTTTAGTATCAGATAGGATAATTGTCTTTTAGTATCAGATAGGATAATTGGATAATTGTCTTTTAGTATCAGATAGGATAATTGTCTTTTAGTATCAGATAGGATAATTGTCTTTTAGTATCAGATAGATAATTGTCTTTTAGTATCAGATAGGATTATTGTCTTTTAGTATCAGATAGGACAATTGTCTTTTAGTATCAGATAGCATCATTGTCTTTTAGCATCAGATAGAATCATTGAATGTCTTTTAGTATCATCTGATGGAATCACTGTCTTTTAGTATCAGATGGGATCATTTTCTTTTCGTGCCAGGTTGAATCACTGTCGAGTAATGATATCATTTCCATTCTGACAACATTTGCCTTGAGGATACCAATTACATTATTGGCATTAAGGCAACAGCTTCGCTTCCACCCCTGTTTGCGAACAACATATGTACCAAAGCATTTCATGTCAAAGGTCATGGAATACACCCTAATCCATTCGTACGTCTGGTAGGTTGAGTCGATCAATCCAGCAAGACAGACTTGGGGGTATGTATGACTCTAGATGTTACCACTGTAGCAAACCTACAGACTAAATAACTCAATAACTGCCTCTACCAGATGACTCAGACGTACGTGCAATCTGACGTTCGTGCACTTGTTGGCCTGTCTAGTGTGCCTGTCTAGTGTGGACATCTCTCGTATGAGCACGGAGAGCCCAAAGACCACACACATTGTTACTGCCTGTGCAAATTTGGGTTCCTAAGTGGTGCGTATATTCTGCCCAAACCCACCCGTTCCCTAACTATTACCCAGTTGAAAGCACAGATATAATCGTATAACCTTCTTAATCCTCTCAATGCTGGTGTCGAACCCATTCCACAGGTAAGTAGTGTTATAAGGTAAAGAAGTATCATATGGACATCCTCAAATATAACTTGCAATAACTATTTACCAAGTACAATTTACCTACCATTGTAATTATGTAAGTTATGCCTAAAGGCTCATCGTTCTAAATATATACTAGACTTTAAGTATTTTATAGCCAAATAGAAAATTCTACAAGTTCAAAAAAGTTTCGGTCACATTTCTCGGCACACAACCACCCGTGTCTTGACCTCAGGCACTCCACGTCGAGTGGTGAGCAGTCTGTTATTTTCTTCATAATGAAACCATTTTTCATAATTTGATCAATATTTTTTGTTCTTTTCTGAAAAAACCCACTTATGTTCCTCATGTCCTAAAAATTAGCAACTTTCTGTTTAATTAGTTATGAATGAATCGTAACGATGATGGCAACGGCGTAAAACAAACAACTCCATATGCTTTTTGATGCCGAAAAATTATTGTGCAAAACTGAATTTGCTTGAATTGATCACATAAATGTAAAAATTGTTGTTAAACATTGCTCATATTATTTATCGAGGTTGTAAATTATTTCGTTTGATAAACATTCTGATGCTGTTGACAATCGTAGATGACACGTGGCCCAACTCGCGATGGTTTTAGTTGAATGAACACGGCATATATTTGTAGATATGCACCCATAAGCAGAATCCGGACTCCAGGTAAAGCAAGTCAAAGGCTTAATAAACAGATCATGAAATATAATAACAATATTGGTAATTGTATTCATACACGAGCTGGTTAACTATATATATAACAGCCGAATTAAGTCAAAATTAGTTGGATTTCGTGTCATGATACTTATGAACATACTTTCATTCATTCACAACCTCCAAAACAATGGGACCCGTGAAGATCCGGGGTAGAATAGGTCTTCAGCAACCCGTTTTTGTCATAAAAGGCGACGATGCTTGTCGTAAAAGGCGACTAACGGGATCGGGTGGTCAGGCTCGCTGACTTGGTTGACACATGTCATCGGTTCCCAATTGCGCAGATCGATGCTCATGCCGTTGATCACTGGATTGTCTGGTCCAGACTAATTATTTACAGACCGCCGGCATATAGCTGTAATATTGCTGAGTGCGGCGTAAAACTAAACTCACTTCAAAACAATGGAAAAACATGTATTTTGAGCAAAAGTAAATAGTCTCGTCCATGGGCAAGATTTTTTAATATCGCTGTAAATTAGTCGAATTAAAGTCAAAATGAGTCGAATTTTGTATCATGATACTTATAAATATACATTCATTCATTTACAACCTCTGAGCGACTAAATATTTTCGCTCATGGGCCACTGTTTGCCCTTTGGCGAGCGAGTTTAAATTTTGAGTTTTCGAAAAAAATGTTTTTTTCCATCATATATTCATGACAACTGCATGTTCAATTTGATCAAATCCTTTGTCAGAATGTAGCCACAGTGCGGAGAGTTTCTGGACTTTAGTGAGTCCAGAATTAAATAGTGACGTGTTAAATAATTCAGCCTCATATCTAAACCAAGTTCACCCAGTCCATGTTGATAGTTTGCTATCAAATATGGGAAACTGAATGACGTGGAACTGGCTGGAGCAGAGAGTCTGATGACTACACTGACAGCGATTGAATGACTGTTTCCTGTTCACGTCATTTCAGTCCTAGATTAAATTTATTAGAATGATGTTCATAATCATCATCAATACCAAAACCGAAATTTGATATAATTTTATATTGAGCAGCAGGTGCTACCAGTTGTTCCTGGTACAATAAGGTTATTACATAAGGTTGCACCAGGTACAACAAGGTATCATTTCCTAACTTGACCCCTGTAATGGATTAGCACAAATGAACTTTTGATGTCCTGATCTGGGCTAATGTATTCAGATTTTCATTTGTTTTCATATGCATGTGACACTGACAGTATCAAACACTTACAGAAGATTAACGAAAGAGTGCTCAAGGTATGACATTTTCAAACACAGTTCTTGACAATTTTTGTTTCATTATGACCCATGCAATGATATACAATGTAGGCAATGGGACCATATCTCTGTTAGTCACCTCAGGAGAACGTAACATAGATGGAAAGTGTGTTAGACGAAAAACATACAATATCATTGGTGATAATCCAGGAGAAAATTCTTAGGTAAAATAATTTCCATATACTTTAGCAGACAAAATGACGTATGTATCCAGTGCCATTTCACCAAATGATAACATTTTCTGATAAACATATTGATACCTCGAGCTCATAAACATAAGTGACTCCGGGTCTTCAGGATAAAAAGGAATTCTCAAAAGACATCCTATGGTGATACAGGTAAGAAAAAATATAGTTCATCACATTTGAGTTTTAGGTATATTTCAGCTAGATTTGGAAAGAAAATTCAGAAAAACAAAGTTAAAAAATCTGCGCATTGTTTGTCGTGGTTTACTTGTACATAATCATTATGTCAAAAAGTCAAGTTTTCAACAATAATTACAATAATTTCGTACTTTGAAGTTTACACAGATTCCCGAACGTTGGTTGGTTGAGAGAGCGGTCATGTGATCTAAATTTCAAGGTTCATTTCCCTTGAACCCTTCAAATCGTTCATACGTGTGTAAACATCGTTCATACGTGTGTGAACGTTTTCGAGCCGATCTTGGTCATGTGAACTTTTGCCGGAACTACTTTCCGGGTTTTCCCCAGGATACTCGCTGTCCAGCTTGACGTAAACAAAATAAATCATTTGCATTCACACTCCTTTTAATTTATACATATCACTTGTTTTTGTATGTAACAAAAAGCACCAACTGAGCACAGTTTTGCAAATATCTGACTGACAACGCGTCCGACAACAAGTCCCAGCCAGTGCGACCTAATTTTCAAATTTCCGCTACGGTTTCAAGGAACCCTAATGATCTTGCTGGATTTGGTGATGACAATTTAGCGATCCTGTTTCAAGTCACCCCAATTTTGGCAATGTCGCTTCTTCACGACCAAACGGACTTCCAATTGCCGAGCATTGTTCCTTATCACAAGAGTTTAATCTCTCGCGGTTTTCGGGTTCTGCCCCGTGATCTGTTTAAAACTGCTCATTAAATTTCACAATAAACAATCACAAATAAATAGAATACACCAACGAGATCTGCTTCCTATTCGCCACGCCGCACAACTTCGAAGTCGGTCAGTGTATTATTACGCGGTCAAACGAATCCGTCATAGTTTTATAGGTACAATGACAGTTTATTAAAATGATATTGTTATTGATATTTGTTTCTGTTTGATAACTTTATTAATGTTATGCTTATTAAAGCAGTTTCAAACCTATCGACGAATTTGTTGTAATATTTAAAGGAATACTTTGAGAACTATGCTACAATACGGTCTTGAACAGAATGACATTACAACAATTTACAGGTGTACTCTCGTGTGACACGTGTTCGAACAACGCTTTGACATCGTTCATTTTCAGTGCAAACACACAAAGTGACATTCAATTCTTAATTAATGATACTTTACACAACAAATATCTGAAAATGCTGAAAGCTGCAAACATTTGTAAATAATCAATTACTATCAAATCTATATATCATCAATATTAACCAAGAGTTTTTAATTATTGCAATCAAATATACATATAATTTAAACGGTTCTGAAATCAGTAGTATGATTTTGCCACACATGTAATATATAAGCAAACTTTGTTAAAACATCCCAAATTTCACGTGAAACTATTATTGTCAATATTTACTGAGTATTTTAACGATATATGCATTATGCAGGTGCTAATATTTTATCACATTCAGAAAAGGATGAATATTTTTTGGAATCTGAAATTTTGTCCACCTGTTATTGAAGCCGGTCTTCGCCGATATCTACAGATGTTATTGCGTAGGACATAGTGAAGAGGTATCATCAACATACCAAACAATTATATGTATCATATCTACATAGTCAGTGTAGAATAAAGGATGGTCCTTGTAGCAACAAAGGTTCAAATAAAAGATACTGAGAAACCTGCATGTGGAGTGGAGTTTCCGGGTCACGGCAGCATACAAGGTCAAACAGGATCTGTGGTACCCCAATTAAAATCACCATATAAATTTTAACATGAGCTTTAATTTATAATTACGAATGATTATGAGCAGAAAACTCCTGTCTATGACATCACATCCGGTGACCATGACACTTACTGACAAAAATGATGTTGGCACGTTGGAGTGAACCTCATACTACAGGCTCGTAGTGTAATTTGAACAAACGATGTGATGACATTTTGTACTTTCTGTGCCCCGCTATCACAAATTAAATAGCACAATTTGATCAAGCAAAGTAGGGTACATAATTGTTTATGGCTGCTCCTATGATAGTCTAAAACATATATTAATGACAAAGTCGAAGCTTTGAAATTATGATGCTTAAATGGGTCGAGTTGGAAAGTTGTGGTTTTTTGGTAATGCTCAATTAATCATTCCCTCAGCGCCATAAATCTTTATATATTGCTGTATATGTAGCATAAATATCTATGATCATATCTAAGAGTTAGTAAGATTGTCTTGGCTTGTTCTTGCTTATCCTTTTTAAATTTTTTGGTTTGTTTTGGGTGGGGCGGTGGGGTAGCCTAGTGGTTAAAGCGTCCGCTCGTCACGCCCAAGACTCGAGTTTGATTCCCCACGAGTACAATGTGTGAAGCCCATTTCTGGTGTCCCCCGCCCTGATATTGCTGGTATATTGCTAAAGGTGATGTAAAACCATACTCACTAAATTGTTTTAGCTCTGTGAATGCACATACAGTTGTTGTTAGAATCTTCAGGCAATGGTATGCCAACATTGTTGAATATGAAGTTAGCACGTAATCTGCCTCTTTGTACTTCCACATTACCCACTTTCAGTACCGTAGCAGCAAGACCAGCTCACATTTGTACCCTAGGTATTTGTATACTGTGGTTGAACGTTAAATTGTCGTGAGAATATCCTTACTTTGATTAATTCTAATTACCATGACGACGTTCTTCCAATATGGCCATCAGTTGGGGATGTTTTATTTTTATTTGCATTCACACGCTGAAGACCCGGGTTCGATTCTCCACATGGGTACAAAGTGTGAAGCCCATTTCTGGTGGCCCCGCCGTGATATTGCTGGAATATTGCTAAAAGCGGCGTAAAACCATACTCACATGTAGCAATCAGACGGTGTAAAGATGTTGACATTTTCAGGGACAGATGACACCGTCATCCTGGTGTCCGACTGGTCTGTTCCTGGAAAGGTCCACAGCGTCAGCATGCAGCACATGAACTTCTCCACCATCCCCATCACCAACATCTCTCGACCTGTTGCCATTGACTACGATCCGAAAGGACACAATCTCTACTGGACCGACGTCTTCTTGAAACAGATTCGTCAGACGAGTCTGTATGATGGGACGGATCAGGTTCTGGTTCAGCTGGGCGACTGTAAGTTAAAACGGAAGTGCTCTATTTTATTTCAGTTCTATTAATTTCTGGAGTTAATATATTCCCCCGGACATTAAATTTTATCCGCCATGTTTGTTACTCACAAAACATGAGCGACGAAACGCAAAATATGCATAAATATTGACTCCACTTCAGAAGATGAATGGGGCGGTGGGGTAGCCTAGTGGTTAAAGCGTTCGCTCGTCACGCCGAAGGCCCGGGTTCGATTCCCCACACGGGTACAATGTTCAAAGCCCATTTCTTGTGTCCCCCGCCGTGATATTGCTGGAATATTGCTAAAAGTGGCGTAAAACCATCCTCACTCACTCAGAAGATGACACCTCGAATATCAAAGCAATTTATATCATACTAACTTCGTTAAACACCAACAAAGAAAAAGAACTCGTGCGTCAGATTCATCAGCAACGTTCATCGGGGCAACGTTTCAACTCGTGCTTCTATCTTTTATTAACTAATGATAAGAATTTTTCCGTGTCCTTAGAGAAGCATTTTATGTTCTATTTACGAGGTGTCGCAAAACTAAGAGGCTGATAGTAAGGAAAACATCCTCTGCTAAAATGAAAGGTGTACATGTATTTTTGCCCTAATGTTAAAAAACCCCGTATGGCTTACTTTGAATTATATCGTTTTCTTTCAAGCTGCAACACCAGATGGAATTGCTGTTGACGTCACAGAGAGGTTGGTGTTTTACACCGATGCTGGTAATGATGTCATTGCTAAGGTTGACCTGGATACCCTTGAGAGTCACGTGTTGATTGACAAATATCTCCATGAGCCGAGAGCCATCACTGTGTACGCAGAACAGCGGTGAGTGGTCATCTCAGTGCTATGTGTAACTCGATACTTTGCTTCTGTTTTCATTAACGTACTGCTTTCACGTACTCAACGCAGTCAATATGCGAAATTTAAACCGTGCGTTAACAGAATTACCATATTTCAATATTACGGTATATCACAAGATTTGCGAAATATACTGGTAGATCCTTCGGGGCATTAGCGTATATATGATGGCTGGAACACGGTAAAGACTCATCACATCCCCTCTACTGTTTAGGGAACATTTCCCCGTAGTGTTTTTACGTACATACAATTTTAGTTTATTGTTGTATTTTGTGTAACTGCTCTGACTGAAATTTAAACCTATACACGTTTAAGAATCGTTTTCCTATTCTCTTGATATAATGTATGCCAATTAATTCCTTGGGACCATGTATTCTCGTTACTTGTATGAACCTTCTAAACAGCTATATACGCCAGCAATAGCGGTGTAATACTCAGGGGATAACTGTACTGTGTTTGACGAATTGGAGACGTATACCGGGTTATATTATATAGTCTCAAATTTAGTTATAACGTTAAATTTGCAACTAGATCTATATAACCATCGGTATACGTCACCAATTTGTCAAACACAGTACAGTTATCCCCATTCTAATTCAACTCGTTTTACGCTGTTTTTTTCGTGAAAGAAATTCATTACTTGAAACCAGGTCAAAGTTCCTCTAGGTCAAAGGTTAATCATATAACTCCTTGAACTTACACCATCGCCAGAAAAAGTAGTTCCCTTTTCAAACTTCGACAAATTTATTATGTGCACACTGACTAAATCTGACAATGATACCACTGTAACAGGTCACTGTAATGCCCGTATACCACTGTAACAGGTCACTGTAATGTCCATATACCACTGTAACAGGTCACTGTAATGTCCATATACCACTGTAACAGGTCACTGTAATGCACGTATACCACTGTAACAGGTCACTGTAATGTCTATATACCACTGTAACAGGTCACTGTAATGCCCGTATACCACTGTAACAGGTCACTGTAATGTCTATATACCACTGTAACAGGTCACTGTAATGTCTATATGCCACTGTAACAGGTCACTGTAATGTCTATATACCACTGTAACAGGTCACTGTAATGTCTATATGCCACTGTAACAGGTCACTGTAATGCCCGTATACCACTGTAACAGGTCACTGTAATGTCCATATACCACTGTAACAGGTCACTGTAATGCCCGTATACCACTGTAACAGGTCACTGTAATGTCTATATACCACTGTAACAGGTCACTGTAATGCCCCTATACCACTGTAACAGGTCACTGTAATGTCTATATACCACTGTAACAGGTCACTGTAATGTCCATATACCACTGTAACAGGTCACTGTAATGCCCGTATACCACTGTAACAGGTCACTGTAATGTCTATATACCACTGTAACAGGTCACTGTAATGCCCGTATACCACTGTAACAGGTCACTGTAATGTCCATATACCACTGTAACAGGTCACTGTAATGTCCGTATACCACTGTAACAGGTCACTGTAATGTCTATATACCACTGTAACAGGTCACTGTAATGCCCGTATACCACTGTAACAGGTCACTGTAATGTCTATATACCACTGTAACAGTTCACTGTAATGTCCGTATACCACTGTAACAGGTCACTGTAATGTCTATATACCACTGTAACAGGTCACTGTAATGCCCGTATACCACTGTAACAGGTCACTGTAATGTCCGTATACCACTGTAACAGGTCACTGTAATGTCTATATACCACTGTAACAGGTCACTGTAATGCCCGTATACCACTGTAACAGGTCACTGTAATGTCTATATACCACTGTAACAGGTCACTGTAATGCCCGTATACCACTGTAACAGGTCACTGTAATGTCCATATACCACTGTAACAGTTCACTGTAATGTCCATATACCACTGTAACAGGTCACTGTAATGCCCATATACCACTGTAACAGGTCACTGTAATGTCTATATACCACTGTAACAGGTCACTGTAATGTCTATATACCACTGTAACAGGTCACTGTAATGCCCGTATACCACTGTAACAGGTCACTGTAATGTCCATATACCACTGTAACAGGTCACTGTAATGCCCGTATACGACTGTAATATGTAAGGCCACTGAAAGAGCGAAATATAGTACTGAAACAGCTATACAGTTATACAGCTCTTAGTAGGCAGACTTACATTCAACATGTGACCGTTGAATAGAATATAACCTGTATAGCCTGTTTCTATATCCTACATAGACAATTGTACTGGACCGATTGGGGCACCACTCCAAGGATAGAGACGGCCAGATACGATGGTTCGGACAGGAGAACACTAGTGGCAACCGACCTAATCTGGCCAAATGGAATCACACTGGACAAACAAAGTACGTATCCCTATTGCATAGATCGATGCTCGTGATATCAATCACTGGATTGCCTGGTCCAAGCGAGTTGAGATTGATAATACATTGTGCCGTTTGGGACTGACATCCAATGATCGAGAGAAAAACAAAGCGCCTTTGAGCAGGTGATCTGGATATTGGCGCTATATAAGTAAATATATATACAAATGAATATAAAACAACCACACAGTTTTACACTGTATATTGACGTGGGGAAACAGCCTTCGCTACAACTGAGAACTTCCCTTACACTCGATAGTAAGAATCCGAGTAATTTATACATCGCGATATGCATCATCCGCACTCTTCCGGGTCAAAGTGTGTCAGCACATGCATTATCTAAAGAAAGCCAGACTACTATTTTCTGTAAGTCGAGAAGTTTAAAGTAACTTTCATAACTGGTTTGTCGTTATTCTCCTATTACGTATTCATTGAATACATAATCAAATTACATTTTAACTATGTGTGCAGGCATTCCGTGATTCGTCCTGTTATAAGTCTTCATCTTTTGGGTTTTATATGTGTATGTGTAAGTAACTACGGATAAGCAGTATCATTACTCGTAATCCAAGTATCATGATGTTTATTTGACGTCATGTCTCATGTGACGCCATAGCTGATCCTTTTCACATTTGAGTTACCATAGCGAATCCGGTTGCAGATGTGAGCAGTGTTACGTTTCACCCAAAACAAGCTACTACTGATGGGATAATGCTTAATTTGTAACATGTGGCACTGCCACTAGCGCTGGCTCCATGATGCACGGTCCGCTCGTACAACCAAGCTCATTCGCTCGTGACGCATGTAACGCATAGTGTTCCACGGCACAAAACTGTATCTTCCAATCATCGTTGACCTAATGGCCCTTGGTCAGATTTGCCCTCATTATGATCAGTAAGCCCCAAATAAAGTTGTCGGGCTTTAGGGAAAGTGAGGTTGGTTTTAGCAATATTCCAGCAATATCAAGGCGGGGAACACTAGAAATGGGTTTCATACATTGTGCCCATATGGGGAATCGAACCCGGGTCTTTGGAGTGACGAGTGAACGCTTTAACCACTAGGCTACCCCACCTCCCCTTGAACTTTAGACCATGGATGAGTATTTCTTATGTCGCGGCACTGTAAATCCGTATTAAAGCCCAACTCAACATTTCCCACACTCTTACAGAATCCCCACTGCCCGTAACGACCCACTCACATCCCCACATTCCCTTTCCGATTTGCCCTCATGGGAAATTTGTCATCCACTTTTCTATTGTATCTGGAAAGTGTGTCACTCTGACAATGGATGCAATCACTACGTTGTCGGGGGGTATGTGAGTGTCAGCTGTACAATGGTAATATACTTCCTGAATTGCCTAATCTGTGATGTACCAATTAATAATCGGGAGTGGTGTTGGTTGATGGTGGGCGTCGTAGGGACGGGAGGGCGTATGTATGGTTCTGCTGGTGGTCTGTGGAAGTTGTTGAAAAATACAACTTAGTCTCAGGAAATACAAATGTGTCTCCTAGCCATGATAATTGACGAGGAGAAGACATGGTGGGAAGGGGTGATTTTATAAAGAAAATGTTTCCAAGGAAATTCTTTATAAGAAAAGTTTTGCTTCAGGTTGTTCAGACTGCCACTTAAATTACATCGTTTCAAGATGTTCTATTTTAAAAACGGGATATTGGTTGTTTTGTACTGGTTGTAAGACACAGATACTGAGAGAATGTTGGTTATCATGTACATACGATACTGCCGTGCTGTGATAGAGTGAAGAAGCTGGTTCAATACTGGTAGATCATGTAACACCGCCGGGTAGATCATGTGAGACTGATGTGCTGTGATATTGTGGTGATGTTAGATGTTATATCTTGTAGATCATGTGAGACTGATGTGCTGTGATATTGTGAAGATGTTAGATGTTATATCTTGTAGATCATGTGAGACTGATGTGCTGTGATATTGTGGTGATGTTAGATGTTATATCTTGTAGATCATGTGAGACTGATGTGCTATGATATTGTGGTGATGTTAGATGTTATATCTTGTAGATCATGTGAGACTGATGCGTGTGATATTGTGAAGATGTTAGATGTTATATCTTGTAGATCATGTGAGACTGATGTGCTGTGATATTGTGGTGATGTTAGATGTTATATCTTGTAGATCATGTGAGACTGATGTGCTGTGATATTGTGGTGAAGTTAGATGTTATATCTTGTAGATCATGTGAGACTGATGTGCTGTGATATTGTGAAGATGTTGGCTGTTATATCTTGTAGATCATGTGAGACTGATGTGCTGTGATATTGTGAAGATGTTAGATGTTATATCTTGTAGATCATGTGAGACTGATGTGCTGTGATATTGTGAAGATGTTGGCTGTTATATCTTGTAGATCATGTGAGACTGATGTGCTGTGATATTGTGAAGATGTTAGATGTTATATCTTGTAGATCATGTGAGACTGATGTGCTGTGATATTGTGAAGATGTTAGATGTTATATCTTGTAGATCATGTGAGACTGGTGTGCTGTGATATTGTGGTGATGTTGGCTGTTATATCTTGTAGATCATGTGAGACTGATGTGCTGTGATATTGTGAAGGTGTTAGATGTTATATCTTGTAGATCATGTGAGACTGATGTGCTGTGATATTGTGGTGATGTTAGATGTTATATCTTGTAGATCATGTGAGACTGATGTGCTGTGATATTGTGAAGATGTTAGATGTTATATCTTGTAGATCGTCCGAGACCGATGTGCTGTGATAGTGAAGGTGTTAGATGTTATATCTTGTAGATCATGTCAGACTGATGTGCTGTGATATTGTGGTGATGTTAGATGTTATATATTGTCGATCATGTGAGACTGATGTGCTGTGATAGTGAAGGTGTTAGATGTTATATCTTGTCGATCATGTGAGACTGATGTGCTATGATAGTGAAGATGTTAGATGTTATATCTTGTAGATCACGTGAGACTGATGTGCTATGATAGTGAAGATGTTAGATGTTATATATTGTCGATCATGTGAGACTGATGTGCTGTGATAGTGAAGGTGTTAGATGTTATATATTGTCGATCATGTGAGACTGATGTGCTGTGATAGTAAAGGTGTTAGATGTTATATATTGTCGATCATGTGAGACTGATGTGCTGTGATAGTAAAGGTGTTAGATGTTATATATTGTCGATCATGTGAGACTGATGTGCTGTGATAGTAAAGGTGTTAGATGTTATATATTGTCGATCATGTGAGACTGATGTGCTGTGATAGTAAAGGTGTTAGATGTTATAACTCGTAGATCACGTGAGACTGATGTGCTATGATAGTGAAGATGTTAGATGTTATATCTTGTAGATCACGTGAGACTGATGTGCTGTGATAGTGAAGATGTTGGATGTTATATATTGTCGATCATGTGAGACTGATGTGCTGTGATAGTGAAGGTGTTAGATGTTATATATTGTCGATCATGTGAGACTGATGTGCTGTGATAGTAAAGGTGTTAGATGTTATATATTGTCGATCATGTGAGACTGATGTGCTGTGATAGTAAAGGTGTTAGATGTTATAACTCGTAGATCACGTGAGACTGATGTGCTATGATAGTGAAGATGTTAGATGTTATATATTGTTGATCATGTGAGACTGATGTGCTATGATAGTAAAGGTGTTAGATGTTATATATTGTTGATCATGTGAGACTGATGTGCTGTGATAGTGAAGGTGTTAGATGTTATATCTTGTAGATCGTCTGAGACTGATGTGCTGTGATAGTGAAGATGTTAGATGTTATATCTTGTCGATCATGTGAGACTGATGTGCTGTGATATTGTGAAGGTGTTGGATGTTATATCTTGTAGATCATGTGAGACTGATGTGCTGTGATATTGTGAAGGTGTTGGATGCTATATCTTGTAGATCATGTGAGACTGATGTGCTGTGATAGTGAAGATGTTGGATGTTATATCTTGTAGATCATGTGAGACTGATGTGCTGTGATATTGTGAAGGTGTTGGATGCTATATCTTGTAGATCATGTGAGACTGATGTGCTGTGATATTGTGAAGGTGTTGGATGTTATATCTTGTAGATCATGTGAGACTGATGTGCTGTGATAGTGAAGATGTTGGGTGTTATATCTTGTAGATCATGTGAGACTGATGTGCTGTGATATTGTGAAGGTGTTGGATGCTATATCTTGTAGATCATGTGAGACTGCTGTGCTGTGATATTGTGAAGGTGTTGGATGCTATATCTTGTAGATCATGTGAGACTGATGTGCTGAGATAGTGAAGATGTTGGATGTTATATCTTGTAGATCATGTGACTGCTGTGCTGTGATATTGTGAAGGTGTTGGATGCTATATCTTGTAGATCATGTGAGACTGATGTGCTGTGATATTGTGAAGGTGTTGGATGCTATATCTTGTAGATCATGTGAAACTGCTGTGCAGTGATAGTGACTTGGTTGATACATGTCATCGGATCCCAATTGCGCAGATCGATGCTCATGCTGTTGATCACTGGATTGTCTTATTCAGACTCGATTTACAGACCGCCGCCATATAGCTGGAATAATGCTGACTGCGTCGTAAAACTAAACTCACTCACTCACTCATCGATGACATGCGATACCTTCTTGCTCTGGAAGTGTACAAATGTCCATTATTGACAGATGGTCGACTGTATTGGTGTGACGCCAAGATGAGGGTCATAGAATCCGTGCTACTCGATGGCAGGAACCGGACGGTTCTGTTGTCTGAGTCCACGGCCCACTACTTCGACATCTTCCACCACCAAGGACGCCTCTACTTTACAGACTGGCAGAAACAAAGGTAATTCTTTTCAGTATGCACCCAGCAGATCGCACATAGCATGTTATAACCACCAGCTATCACGCATCAGGTCGTTTAGGATGAAGTTGCCAGCCTTTCAGGGTCACGGGGTTCCTGTCCTGACATAAAAATCCGTATTGCACAGGGCCTCCTTTCACAAAGCACTAAGGTGATCGTAAGTCACTAAGGTAACCTTAGTGCAATGTTAAAGAATTGGAGTTAAGGTTAACCTTAGTAAAGGTTGCTTCGTGAAAGGAGCCCCTGGGTGCCGTTGTACAAAGCGATCTTAGCGCTAAGGTGACCGTAACTCCCATACCTTAACATAGACTTAGGGTAACCTTAGCGCTAAGGTTGTTTTGTACAACGGCACCCTGGACTGTCCCTGACTATGGTTCTTGGTTTGTCAACACTGAATCCACGCTCCGGGATTTCGCTAAAGTGGTAAAACGCTAATGGATACTATTCAACTCTTTATTCCATTACTGAAGAGGCCGCAGGCCTATAGTTATACAAGTATGAGAACAATAATGGCATACAATCACAATGTTTGCAAACGTTGTTTTCTATGCTCAAAAGCATGGTGGATATACATACCAAGTTTGCGAATATAAGTTGTATTATTAGAGTTCATTATCAAATTAAATTTAAACATGGTAGGATTTGAATAGCAATATTGTGGTAGATATTTTGTCCTTAAATCAGTTTAGTAAGGACATACCAGCAAAACGTGGAACTCATCTTCATTTACATTTAGTTCACAAAATTTGCACACTCTGTTTTCTCTTTGAATATTATAATATCTGCCCTTCTCGATCATAAGATCATGTGGATAATGATACGTGGAGTTTCTAAGATTAATGTCGTGGAGGCATTGCTCTGTATGGAAAAAAGATTTAAAAGTACTGTAAAAAGTGGATCTGGGCGACTGTATTAAAGATGAATTCCAGGTGTGTGTGTCACTGCATGTCTACAGATTGGCATGTCATGATTATGACACGTATTATATTAATGTTAAGACTATTAACAATACAAATTCTAAATATTTTTGTATAAATTATATTTTACATACACAGTTCATCGTCCCTATTTGTAAGAGGTGTTTTTGCAATATCTAAAAATTCTTCCGGATGCGATTGCTCTGGTTGACCACAAAGCAGTGTCCTAAATGAACCACTGTCATGTTGCAGGTCTATTCTGTACATCCCGACATCTGGCGGAAATGTCAGCTCCCTTCAGTCCAACGGTTTCTCCCACCTCGCCGGCATCCACGTCACCTCCAACATCTCAGAGCCAGGTACGTAATCTTCAACGTCTGAGATGTAGCTCACTCCGATTGGAAGACAAAGGTTTCCAGAAGGTGTTGTCATACAACTAACTTGACTAACACGATCCTAAATATGACTGTTAGCAAACATCAAAACGTACCGGGGTTGTTTATATCTCCTTGTTTTAAATTTTTTGCTAAATTGGTATGTTCTCATTTTTGGTGTAGACATGCTTGACCAGGTTACTCTTTGAATAAAATGTTTCTAGAGCATCTTTAAAAGCTGGTCTGGGAAAAAGAGGGTTTATGAATTATTTGATGACGTATTTGATGACGGTGTTAACATTTACATCGAAATGTCTCATAAATTGAAATAAAGAAATTGTCAATCCTCAAAACTTCTTTTAATATTTTAATCACAATACAGTAAGTAACATTTCATTTTGTCATAAATACACCTACAGGGAACACATCAAGAAAAGTGTAAATATAGAGTATAGAAAAAAAACACATGCAGGCAATTGGTCACCCGTCACGTTTGCTTTTAAACAAAACATTCCTTGACGAAATCTTTCTCCACGTCGTTGATACATAAAAGTTGCAAATCACTTATGTTGTAGACGTGTATATGTTTTATTCCCACCTGAAGGTATGTGAATACTCCTCTACATTCTCCTCTTTGTTTTCAGTTTCGATTGTAACATCTTACACGACGGCAGTGGCGCCTTTAACAACAGAGGTGATGGAGGAAAACGGTAGATGCTTCTATCATCATATCAACAATGTTGAATTAGAAGATAAAGCTACTTTGTTTTCAATTTTGCGGTCCTTGATCGTTGATTTAAGACCGCTAAATGTAATTTAAAAACCGAACAGTTCGGTTTTAAAACGCTTATCAGTCGTGCTAGAATATATTCTCTCTTGTACTTAGGGTTGGCACATCGGTTAAAGCATTTCGTTGTCACTTTGAATGCTGGGTTCGATTTCCAACATGATCACTCTATGTGAAGTCCCTTTCAGATGTCTCCCGTCGTTATATAGCTGGAATAATGGAGTCTGTGCCTACTCCCCGCTACACCGATATTCCGCTAATAGACTGGTGATATTGCAGGTTCCGGGGATGACGCTACGGTGACCAAGGAGGAGCAGGCCACACCTGCACTTGGAGAATCACGTGCCCAAGAGCAGTCAGGGATACACTTGTCTTTTGGTAAGCTGTTCAGTTAGATCTGCACAACCTTTTCCCAATTTCCCGTTATCCAGGTGAGAACTGGTCTTCAGGAACACATACTTGTTGTAAGACGCGAGTGGTAGGATTGGGTGGTCAGACTCGCTGGAGAGGTATATGGAGCGTGCCATCGATTCCAGTTTGCATCGATAGGTGCTCGCGTCGTCAATCACTGGATTGTCTGGTACAGACTGGATTATTGAGACCGCTGTCACGTAGCTGGAATATATGTCTAAGTAGAACATTAAACAACAATGGAAATGTGTGAAGTTTACAATAATACGTCAGTTTGCATTTTTTCCATTAAGATGTCGTTACGTTGTTACACTGTTTACACGGCTGTTGTTGCTGTAAGTGCAAACGATGCTTTGTCGTTACGTTGTTTTTTACTGTTTACACGGTTGTTCTTGCTGCCAGTGCAAACAATGCTTTGTCGTTACGTTGTTACACTGTTTACACGGCTGTTCTTGCTGTCAGTGCAAACGATGCTTTGTCGTTACGTTGTTTACATGGCTATAGTATTGTTGTTCTTAGTGCAAACGATGTTCGTGGCGCTGGGGTGTGTGTCGGTGCTCCTGCTGATCGCTGTCGCTTTCCTCGTCACCTTCTATCTGCTCAGGTACGTAGTCCATCCGCCTCCACTACACCTGGCCATACACCTGGCCATACACCGGCGGTTACATACATCAGTCACGTCCTCAGCTTGAGTAACTTCTGGAACGACAGATGCCTATGCTCCCCACAATATGTTTCAAACAATGGCCGCATCCCCAATTAGATAAGGACTGGTATAAAGAATAAGACCGCTTCCGTCTCAGATTCTGTGTCGGATTCTGCGTCTGTGAGAAGTGTCCATGTTAAAATGCTGCATTGTATCACAGTGGACATGTACTAAACTCTCGATATTTGTCCAGACTTGTACAATCAGTCACACAGACAGACAGACAGACAGACAAACCTGGCTATATAAGTCCAATGATGTTGCACGCGTCTTCAGATCCATTAAATCTATACAAAACAGCATACAAAACAGGGGCGCCAACTCAAAACCAGGCAATCGGTAATCATAATTTCTTTCTTTAATGACACTTGACTTACATTTTGTTAAATGTGAGTCTGTACCACTCATTATCATTGACCTAGTATAAGGATAATGCTTTTTTGAGGGCATTATCATTTGCAGAAGCCCTAGGTCTTCCATTAACTACCCGACGAAGGAGGGCAGTTGAAACAGACCGAGGGCTTCTGCAAATTATAATGCCCTCAAAAATAGCATTACCGTTATTATTGCTAAAATACATGGAATTTGTTTTGAAAAGAAAAAAGAAACAATGAAGGAATTTGACTGTAAGTTTACTCAAAACCAACTTCTGACGGGGTTGACTGACCGAATGCAATTACTTCATCGAACTATTCAAGTGACGTCACAACAGAACGTGACGATATTCGACCTTGGCCTTTGACAAGACCATGGTCTGCAAAACGTAACATGTCAAACTATGTCAGACATAACGTCAGTTTTCAGTGTTCGGTTTTGGTCCAACAACAACGTTAATAGTGCAATTGTTATGGTTAGCACCAACAAGAAAGACAATATTACCGCTATGGAATTCGGGTTGGTTTGACTTGTTTGCCCCAGAATATCTGCCAGTCCAAAGCCAAAGTCGAATGAACCGTAAGCCCATGCATGCACCCACTATGACGTCACTTGACAACAGAACTGATAGTGGCCCGTCGTTAAGGTTGAGCGGTCCAATATCATTTCCAGCGGCCTGCAAATTTCTGATAATAGGAGGGCCGTTTCATGATAATTCCACGTATTTTAGCTATAATACTTAATTATACCTGAACCTTCTTTTGACAGACGAAGAAGAGAACAACGTCAAGAAACGTACTGCTACTTGGACCGTCAGCTAGGTCAGGGGCCGTTCACGAACAACATGTACATGGAGATTGGAGCCACCATGGACAGCAACTCGGAGATGTATCTGGTCCCATGTGACGAGCTGAAGAGATGCAAAGAGGACGACCCCATCTACGATGAAATCGGAGACGCCAAGAAATTTTGATTGTGAAAACGTACTCCGTATGTTACATATAGGACGGAGGAATGGTGTTTCTGTGGATTCTGGAGGAGAAAGAGCACCATGACGTGCTGCCTGGAGTCTTGAACGTTGTGTACGGTAACCCGTTACATTCTACATGGAGAAAGGTCTGCAGAAGGCAATTGAAAATAGTATGTAAATACATTTCTATGCAAACCTGATTTCCTGTTGAAAACTGTATACAGTGGAACTCTGCTTACCCGGACCTCAGTTATCCGGAAACCTCGGCAACCGGACGATATTTACGTGAAACGGAACACACACTACAACGAATGCTTCGTTTATCCGAACTATAACTAAAACCTTGTCCGGATAAGTGTGGTTTGCCTGTATTGTCGAACAGTACTGTACTGTATTCCAAGAACACTGTCTCTTCTCCAGAGAAAGGAAATCAAGACTGTGCAGTCAAATGCAGCTCTCAAAAATAAGCTGACTCTAAAATGACTTGATGTGCGTTTTGTGTTGAAACAAATGAATATATGTGATATACTGTATCTCCACTGCCCTGTGCTTTGGTCACGTGGGACCTGATGAAACTGATGTTGTATAAGTGCAAAGGGAATGGGTGGGTGAGTCAAGGGTGAAGTTCTACAACCCGTTTACATTTAAACACAGGATACGAGAATTTAACACTCGCATTGTCACAAAAGACCTAACCATAGTATCAAAGATTTCATGTAGATCATTTCACAACAATAGGATGTATTAGTCTATGATGGTACCGGGTATCCAGTGCGGAATCGGTTTGCTGGATGCGTCCGTAGCTTGCATCTGTCTGTCAATTGTTTACCGTAATCACATCAGCATTATAGTGAGTGAGTTTAGTTTTACGCCGCACTCAGCAATATTCCCAGCTATATGCCAGCGGTCTGTATATAATCGAGTCTGGACCAGACAATCCAGTGATCAACGGCATGAGCATCGGTCTACGCAATTGGGATACGATGACATGTATGTGTCAACAAAGTCAGCGAGCCTGACCACCCGATCCCGTTAGTCGCCTCTTACGACAAGTATGGGTTGCAGAAGACCAATTCTAACCCGGATCTTCACGGGTATATCAGCATCATAAACGCAGGCTGGTCTATTCTGGAGTTAGAGGTGACGTTAGGGAATGAGTGGAATATAGGTAAATCCCATCGCTAGTCAGCATTGTGATGTCAGTGTAGAATGTGAATATACGATATGTGTGAGCGAATAGAAGGTCATACCAGTTCATGTTTTTGTGATGAAGAATAGACAGTCACAGTGTACATAAAACCATAAATGCCTTTTGTTGATGCAAATTCATTGAATTGTTCATTAATTAAACAAATAAAATATATGGTGTGTGTATTTGTACTTTCAGTTTTAAACTAGCAAATGATAAAGAAGTCACGTTTTCTTTGATCGCAAATGTTTGAACGGGACGCACCAAAGACATGCAACATAACGATCATGAAGACCAGTCATGAAACAACATAGGAACTGTCAGTTGTTTCAGTAGTTAATATTATGACATTTGCGTTTTGTAAATATTCCACAGTTAGTTGAGTATTGACAATATCGTATGGTTAGTGACAGCATTCGTTTGTATGTTTGTTAATTCACTCTCAGCAATATGCCATCTATGTGACAGGGTCTATAAATAATGGAGTCAGGACCAGACACTCCAGTGGTTGCCATCGAGAGCATTGATCTGCGTAGTTGGGATACGATGACATGTACAACCAAGACGGTGCGTCTGACCACGTTTCAGTCGTCGCTTGCAAGCGTAGGTTGCTGAAGACCAATTTTAACCTGGGTCTTCGCGGCCTTTATCTACATGTATAACATAGGCGGATCCAGAGGGGGGTGCAGGGGTGCGCACCCTCCCTTTTGTCCTGAAATTTAAAAAAAATGACCATTGAAACTCTCGTGATAATGAAGTGTGCACCCCACCTTTCTCAATAGTGTGCACCCCTCCTTTCTCAGAAAGCTGTATCCGCCCCTGTATAACATCACTTCCCTATCAACTAGTTCATTACCATGCCCTATAATGTATACAATAGCTCCCGCGCCGTGTTTCATTTTCATGTTTCGATCGATCTACTTTACTACCATAAGAATCAGTTTTCGGGGAAATATGTGTATCAAGAAATTTAACCTGGGTCTTCGCAGCCTTTATCTACATGTATAACATCACTTCCCTATCAACTAGTTCCTTACCATGCCCTATAATGTATACAATAGCTCCCGCGCCGTGTTTCATTTTCATGTTTCGATCGATCTACTTTACTACCATAAGAATCAGTTTTCGGGGAAATATGTCTATCAAGAAATCGGGGAAGACTGGAAACACTTGGAGGAATATCCTACCATCACAGTCAAGGAACTATGGGCCTGGGAATACAGACACATTCAACAGGGCTGATGCATAATTGGACAGCGGCCATTCAGTTAGTAGAAATACAGACAGCATAATTTCAAAATGGTGCATACAGGTCCAACACAAAGATCACTCAAGCGTTCCTTTAATATGCTCCAGTTTTAATCACCAGCTTTGAATAGCGCTGTGGGAGGAAATCTGAAAATAAATAGAACACTGCCATTTGTTTCCATCAGTATATGTCACCGCTATTACGCCTTATGGAATCTCTCACGGTGGACTGTCGGTGCTGGCTATTCTCTGACGTTAACGTTATATATTCACGAATGCGCCGACTCCACTTTATTGCAACGTGAACAGGAATTTAAAGCATTGTTAATTCTGCTGACCAGAGATAATCGAAATATAGCAATACCGTATTTTATATCGCTATGTGTGAAAAGAAATTATATAAAAGGATGTATTTAACACCTTTTGAAATCTTTAAAGTTGGTCACAGCCGACTTGCTTGTTGACTCTGCATTATATTTTGTACTCGATTGCCCTCTCACAGATTGGTAACAAAATTGTAATTTTTTTCTGGTATTAATGTATTCATACTTAATGACACCCTGATCTCACCAGCACAGTTTCATGACAAAGATCAAGCTACATTTGATATGATATATCATGTTGTTGTTTGTGGTGTTCATATGAATCCATTTATCTCTTGCCATCGGTTAAGCTGATGACAAACAAGGTGTAAGTAAGTCATAAAGGGCGACACACAGGGCAGTTTATGTTGCAGATAGAAGTTGTCCGACTGAAATTGCTTCGTGTGTCACTAGCCTTTGATGGTTCCATAGACCTAGTTTATAATCCCGTCCTGGGTGTGTCATCACAAGGCTGACTGACTGTTTATGGTTTTATGCCACTTTTAGCAATATTCCAGCATTATCACGGCAGGGGACACCAGTGATGGGCTTCACACAATGGACCCAAGTTGGGAATCAAACCCGGGTCTTCGGCGTGACGAGCGAACGCTTTAACCACTTGGCTACCCCACCGCCCCGTCATCACAAGGTATACCACGATACGTTAATATATTTGTGACAGTCCTAATCAAAATAAGCGACCAAGTACTGTTCTGTGGATAGGAGGTCGCGGGTTACCAACAGAACTATATTCTTACTGTACAACATAGATAACAATACAGTGTGGCCCTAATATATGTCTATCGTAGTTTCCATGCACAGTTTAATGTCCTGGGTTTTTGTTTCATAACGGATTTGAATGTACGTATTACAAGGGAAATGACATCCGAAAGTTTTCTAAGTGAGATGAGTCTGCAGGGTTGACATCAATTTTACCGGGCATTCAATATCCAGCGTTGCTTATGAACCCCATCAGACAGTGTGCCATATTTCGATCTGGCTGGAGACAGGAGTTCTTTTTCCAAATTGGCGTAGAGAAACTCTCTCTGGATGTCGTTTACTGGAGCATTTGTGTTAATACTCACCCTCATCTTGTATTACTTTGTGTTTCAGTTGAGTGTGCAGAACGTTGGCAGCGTGTACTATTAGCAACCCACCCCCCCCCCGCCCATAGGGTGTCTTGTTTGAAATTGCTTTAAGGGTTAGACAAGCATGTAAGAGGTGACCTGACTGCCACTCTGTGGATGAGATGGGTTTTTACGTATGACTTGGACTCAATTGTTTACAGTAAGGAGTGGCTTGACGACGGAAGAGTGACTTAAGCACGGATATGGTATCATCTATTATTAATTTACCCCGTTTCCCCCGACAATTTGGCATCTGTCATATTGAACAATCGCGAAATGTCATCTACGTTCATTGGTGTGTTGTTTTCAGACCAGTGGCCGCCAACCGGGTGAATCTTGAATTCGAGATTATGCGATCCGGTCGTGCCATAGTGCTGCCACGTTGCTTACCGCGGAGTTTGAGATGACTGTAAAGCGTTTCCTTCCTGTTACATCGAAATATACCATTGGCAGAAGAGTTGTATACTCCCCAGGGAGTTGAGTTTGCTAATACGATGTGCAGTTGATATTGACATCCAATGATCGAGGGAAAAACTACAAGCGCCTTCAGCATGCACTAGTGCGTGGATATGTGCGCTATATAAATATCCTATAATAATAATAACCCCCGACCCTGTCCATCAGCGTTCATCATTCGCAGCTTCACATCCCTTCAGCTTACTTTTAGTCTCAACTATATACTAAGCAGCAAAAGAAACGTCAGCTTGGAATTTTCCTTCGCAGAAACGGATAACTGTAAACTCATTTATTGTTTTGATTCTATATTTTTGACAATATCTCCAACTTTACCTGAGCAAAGACATTCCTTCCCAAACTCAGAATTGAACCCAGGAAATGGTCTCAAAAACGCCACCTGATCTCGGTGTTCTCCATGTTTTTCATGCAACTCATGCTGCACGTGCTGGTCACATGGACCAGCCCTATAAAATGCCCCCCACCCCTCACCCCCCCAAACCTGGTTGAAACATTCATATTACAACGTCAGCAGGATGCTGCTAAACAAGACAGCTCAGAGGAACCAGGCGCTAGGAAGACTTGAAGCTGGCCACACTGCACAAGCCGTTGCCAATCACTTCCAGGTCAACGTTCGGACCATCTACAGGCTGCAGCAACGTTTCCGGGCCACCAACACCTCAAATGATCGCCCCCGTACTGGCAGACTAAGGGTGACAAGACCGCCATGTTGTGCGACAGCATGTATAGAATCCCTTCATGTAGGCATCCGAAACAGCACG